CGGCCAGGGGGGCGGGGGGCGGGGGGGGGGGAGGGTTCAGGAGAACGGCCCGTGAAAGTCCCCTTGACGAGAGACATTCCAGAGCATTACCGCGTAATCCTGGTGGGGGGGGGACGGGGGCTTGAGAGGGGAACTTACGGAGCCTCCTGGGCCACACAGCTGATGTCCATCTCGATACCTGCTGCTGCTGTATTTATCCACCACATGTGCCTTCGCTGTAGCCTGTTGCTCGCAGCGCTCATCCCGCTTGTGTGTGCAAATGTTGTATGGGGGATCGGTGCTTGTGTGTTTTTTTATGTGTTTGTGGGACTTACGGGGAGGGTTGAGTTGCGCACTGGCGCTGTGATTCCCAGTGACATCGGTTCGATTCCTGGGCACGCGAAACAAAACCGACAGAGTGGTAGCTGAACCTGTCCTGGGTATCTCCTAGGGCAACCCGCCATAGGATCGGTGCCTTGTGAGGCATGCAAACGTGAGTACTGGAGAGACAAAGGTGGTCGGGCATGGTACTGGCCCGACCAATCTCCTCCTGTACTGTGGCAGCCCTTAGTCGGCACTTACTAACAGTACCCTGGCCCTGATAGTTTATAAAGATTCCTAGATTTGTGTATCTTTGTATCGGCGTTTATGTGTGTGTCTTTGTTAAGGTGCTCGCTAACAGCACACTTGCCCCAACAGTCTGACAAAGGCCGTACTGGGGATCTGTGTCTTTGTTTGTAAATCTGTCCTCTGAACCTATTTACAAATTTCCACTCAATCTTCATCTCGCCATTGTTTCCTTTATTTCAGTTTCTTTTTCAACACCCTTCACCCCTCTCATATCTCTTTCTCCCCTCTTTGCTCCCTTATTCCCCATCGCCTTTACCTTTGTCTTCTTCACACACCTTCAGTGTGTCTCCCGCCGCTGAACGAAGGCCTCTCCAACACCGTGTTGGTCATGGGTGTTGCATGACCATACTTCACTACGCTCTGCCAGCGAGCGTTGGTTGAAAGTTCAGATATCACTAACCGTGACCGGAAATCAAACTCAGGTCATTGGGGTTCAACGCACGGCACGCCGACCACTGGGCCGCCGCCTTCACGCCACTGTCTCCTTAACGAGAGCCAAACAGGATTTTCCGCTGAACAGTACACAACTGGTCATGCACTGCACCATCATCCCCCCCTCTTCTCTCTGCCCTCCCTCCGGCACACACACTCTGGGACCCCGAGCATGCCAGAATTACAGGAAGCTATTTTCGAGTTTCGAATGCGTAACTAATTACATCTTTGGGGCACGTTTACTGCATCTCTCTCGATTCCATCACCGCCTCCCCCACCCCACCCACCTCGCTTCCCATCCGCCCCAAAGCCTCCTCATTTTGAAGCGGTTTTATATCGTCGTGCGTGATGGATGAGAACAGAGAGGGGAGGGAGGGGGGTCATAGCCATCGCAAAATCAACGGAAAATCCAGGATGGAATGTCCAGAATGCATGAATCTATCTGATGCTTCTATAATGATGTACTTTATTTATCCAGCATCGCCTAAAACTGAGCTTCAAGACTCATTTTCAGGAGAGATATGCTTATAATGTGTGGCCATTTCCTTCATCGGTTTCATTTTGCACGAAGAGGAAACCGAGGTGCCTGGAGAAGCCCCCTTGCCTAGTTTGGGAAAAATGCAAAATAAGGTTCAGCCATAGACAGGCCAGCAACCTAGTTTCTGCACTGTCACTCAGCACAACCAGAAGGTCTAAAAGGGCGATAGTTAGACTCATGGCAGTGTAGTTTGGTCTGCCCACCTTGCCTCCAAAGCACAGAATTACCCAGAAAAGTTGCAACGTTGAGACAACGTGGTGGGAACAGTTCGGGGCCAACCTTGGTGCCAACGTTGGCCCAACATTCCATGTTTAAGGGGTACAGGCCTGCATCACGCTACTGATGCAATACTCTTGCCGAGTACATTTGACGTAAGGGCCGTGACTTGAGAATACATTGGCTGCTCTTACGCGCTGTGTCACGGGTTCCTCGATGTCCAACTCTGCCGCAGGGAGCGCGCGTGCGGTGATGCACGTCTTTGGGAACTCGGGGTGTTTTGGCATCCACCATTCCCGCCCACTTGGAAAGTGCTGCCCTGGCAAAACAGCGCCACAATATCTTTAACAGGCCAGCTACTCTACTCTTTGAGATACGTGTCCAATTCATCATGGGCAGGAAATCCTTTCAGGAAGGGCATACCATGAGGCGTTATTTCATGTGATATCCCCTTATGAGAAATAAGGGTAAGTGGTCATTTTTCAACGTTAATGATAGGGAAGGATGTGGACGGTCTATGGAGATTATAGTTTGCTAAAATTGGTGCCAGGCTTCATTCAATTCCGCGGTAACTGCTCTGTGGCGCGTTCGAGTGAGTCCGTGAAATATGGACTCGTTATGCACGCATAATAGCCAATGGAAAGCAATGTGACACAATTACCAACCAATGCAAAGATATGTGACACAATTACCAACCAATGGAAAGATATGTGACACAATTACCAACCAATGCAAAGAGATGTGACACAATTATCAACCAATGGAAAGCGCCAATTTCCGTAATTGCTCAGTGTGCATCGTTGCATTGATTACAAACAACCACAATGCCTCGAATCAATGGTCACTCCTATGCTCGACTCCATGCTCGATCCCATGCTCAATCCCATGCTCGATCCCATGCTCGATCCCATGCTCGATCCCATGCTTGATCCAGGGTGCCGATTAAGTTTTGAATAGACGGGCATAAAATGTGCACGGTATTGTGACTCGATGGTGTGACCATGCTTTTACAAAGAGTGAGTTCTAATAATGAGGTGGGGTTAATGTCAGAAAAAGGTTTACGAGCGGTTGGTGACTGGAGTTCAACATGTTGGCTGCGTCGGTTGGAACACGTTATGCAGTAGCGTCAGTGCTGTATGCGGTAGCCATAAATGAATGGCAATAGCTGGAGCTTTTGTTTACACTGTTCAGAACTTCAGTGCCCAGAAACCAGTGTGAGGTGTCTTGTAACTCAATGACGTGTGCGGTTGCCGAAATGCAACACGCGGTACCTGTAACTCAACATGCAGCACGGTGACGAGATGTTAACTACCTCGCCTGGTATGCGGGAGGTCGTGGGTTCAATCTCGACCCTGACGCCTGTATATTTGGAGTTGACACATTCTCTCCGTTGTTGCGTGGATTTTTCTCCGGGTCCTCCGGTTTTTCCCTCCACATTTATAAACATGGCGTTTAGAGTATTTGGCTGCTATAATTGTCCACGTGATAAGCTACTTCGTTGAGCTGTCATTTGTGGACAGGTCGCTTCTGAAAAAGTGCTATACAGCTCAGTAGGCCTTACCTGGTAAAATTAAAAAGACATATAAATAAATATATAATTGGCTCGGCCCCTCCATAAGCCGGTGAATTGTCACAATTTATGGTCGCCATTGAATTAGTTATTTTTTGTCCCATTCGTACTCCCTGGTTAGTATATTTTTTTCATTCGCTTTTACTCATTCGTAGAATTTTAGTCCCTCTGTTACGGAATAGGTAACATCCGCATGCAGCTTACGTGTACTTTGCATTCATCCTCAATAGTCACTTACTCCGCACCTGATTTGATGCATTCATCACAAGCAAAAGTTCCACGGGTTATTTTTTTTAGTAATCAATGAATGTAAGCATCGTTACATGGCTAATACCCAGCAGCAGGAACCGTGTGTGCAGGCACCAAAGCACAGTGTGTGACATTTGAACCTCGATATGCGGTATAAAGAACTCAATACGGGTAGTCTTCGACTTATGGAACGGGTTACGTTCTTGAGACCCGTTCTTAAGTCGGAGCTCAATATTTAATTGTACATACGGTCAGTGTAATAAAGTGTGTTATGGTTCAACAACAAAAAGGAAAGCATCTTTAAAACTCATAAATAAGAAGAAATAAAGTACATTTGCATGTAACACGGTCATAAATACTGTATACTAAATAAAACTTAAAAATTAGATAAACATGAACAGATATTTTTCACTTACCTTGAGTCCTGATGCTTGTTTGTTTGTTAGAAGGGGTAGTTCACTGTTGTCGTGCATCACGCGCGATGTTGGGACTCGTTACATCTCACGGAGGATTGCTCCGCCTCTCACAAAATAGTTCCGCGGGTCGATTCATAAGTACGACTGGACGTTCGTAAGTCGGGTGGTTAAAAATAATATCTCACGGCGGTTCCTTCATAAGTGGGGGTGTAGCGTAAGTTGGACGTTCGTATTTCGGGGACTGCCTATATGCAGTCGTCGGAATACATCATGTGGGGCATAAGCAATCGTGAAAATAGGTAGGTACCAATCAGTGACAAACTTCGTCTAGATACTGAAACAATAGTTTTATTTTATGAGCTTGTGAAAGAGTCCGTAGATTCTTTCTGAGGACGATTGCTGGAACTTTCTCTTTTGATTGTGTGGAAGAGCCCTTTATTGACAGAATCAACAAGCAGACAATGTCTTCTTCACATAACCCTCTGTGCACATGAAAACAAATAAATATTTCTTACACTTGCAAGTTGTTTTCCTCGAAGCTGTTTGATACCCAGTGCCTGCAGCGTTGTGATTTATTTTCGCTGCTGTAACTTTTTCCATACGAAGGTCTTCCCTGGGTCATTCTCGTATAAGAAGCCCCACGGGCTGAATGTTCCCTCGCCCCACAAATACTTAAACAACTAACAGCAACAACAGCAGCAGAAACTTACACAACCCATCAGCTGCACAGCCTTCTGGGAGTGCACAATTTCAGCAGCGTCGTTTCAAGACGAGCAAACTCTGCGTGCACCTGCTTTCGGCGCACATTTCCTCATGTTTCAGAGCCATGGTTGCTTGAAATCCCTGCTGGTGAACTGCTGGCCGTACGGGCAAGGACTCTCTTCCCTTACAGCCAGGCAGGACCATTACACTCCTGTGTGAACTCTCGCGTGCACGACGCTGACACGTTGATGTGCCTCTCGCCGGCCAGGGTGGGGGGGACTGCCCCGAGATGAGCATCGGTGCCATCAAGATTGCCGTGGAGATCTCCCTGCCGGGCTCCTTCATCTACGTCTTCACTGACGCCCGGTCCAAGGACTACAAGCTGGCGCCCGAGGTGCTGCAGCTCATCCAGCAGAAGCAGTCTCAGGTGAGCGTCTGCACGTTGCGCGCGTGTGCACAAAGGACACGTCTTTAAGGTGCTGCGTACTTTTGCTTGCGCTATGTTCGCACGTGTACAATTACATGGACAACCTCGCTGTTAAATGTTTTTTTTTTTAAGTTGGCTTGTTGAACAAGTTGGAACACATTGCAGACAAACATTGCCAATTATTGAACTATGTGAAGGTCCACCATGTGGCGTTTCATCAAACTTGCAGGGCAATGAGATTGCGTTTTGAATGGGAACAAAGTGTTCCCATTCCATGCGAGCTATGCATTTGGCATATTGTGTGTGTTGTTCCATGGTTGCGTAAAGAGCGCGCCGTTAAATATATCTCTGTGACGTGTTCATGTTCGAGCATTCGAGCAGAGCCGCGCCTGGAGTCCGTGAAGTTATTGATGAAAATAAATACGTTCAATATGTTTGAGTTCAAGACACGCAACGCTCTTTTTTCCCCATTCAAAATCAACAAATAAACATCATGGGTGGAAAAACTCGAGCATGCGTGTCGGTATGTATGTGTATGTATGTTGATCTTCTTTCGCACAGCACGTAGCCAACTGTACTAATCAGAGGTGCGAGGGGAAAGACAACAAACTAAACACAACAAGAAGTTCTGTTTAACGGTGGCAGTAGGGTATATTTGATGGTGCCAGTGTTTTTGCCAAAATATTAGTGGGATTAAAACATTCACTCCCCCCCCCCCCCCCCCAACGATGAGATGAATTATTGTGATTCGGAGGGACAGAATTCGATGTTTGCTTTTTTTATTCACTGTTCTGAGGTTATCGACCAATGGTAGCTGTGAGGGTCGCACAAACCCACGACGCTTAACACCGTACGGATGGCACCGCATCGCTTCGCACAAACCTGAGTCGACGCTTATTTTGCACGCTTGATCGACCGATCCGAGTTGATGAGCCGATTCCTCCTGAAGCTGTACTCGGTGCCAGGTGAAGTAAAGGCTGCGTAGCATCACACCGAACCAGTTCGCAGATTCCAACTCCTTGTCGTTTGCCCAATATGGCACTGTGGGGGAGCACGTGACTCATTGTCAGAAGGGGGTCAAGATTTCCGTCGTATCAGCCTGCCATCCCTCTGGGGGTAGGTAGAATCACATAAGCCCTTTGTCAGATGTCAACAGTTGGCTGTTTTATGGAGAGGCTGATCCCCACCATAAGAATGTGAAATTTCTACCAAGTGGCTCAATACCTCCAACGGGGATGAATACTGCCCATTGCTTGTTTGAGCGTAGGGATCATGATCATCGCCGCGATGATGATGCATTGCAAGAGAGATGGCAACAACTTGGGGAGGCATTCATCCAGCAGTGGATTGATCACGGCTGCTGATTGTGATAACATAATATGCATGGAAGTAAGCAAATCGGACACTGGTGGCTAAATGTTTAATCTTTTAGTTACATTGTGTTTAATCTTTGTGTGAAGACATCACTTGGTGTCTCATATTGGGCCCTAATCAGCCTATGGCCAAATCATCCGGCATCCATCCAATCTCATCAGATCTTGAAAGCTAAGCAGGTGTGTGTCTGGATAGTACTCGGATGTATGACCACAATGCTTGTAACATGTGCTGTAGGCCACTGCGAAGGAAAGTTGTCAGCAGATGGCAGTGCAGCAAAAGCCATCGTTGTACTGTACTATGCCTCAAAATTTATGCTCCCCACATTCACCAACCAGCACTGACCAGCACGGTCAAGTACGGTCACGTCACCTCCACGACCGACCCAGAGGGACGTGGGGAGGCCCTCGATATCAGTGGATTGCCAAAAGGGCTTGTAGAGATAAAGATGAATAATAATAATCATCATCAATAACGCAGAGCCCAGGCAGACAAACAAACAGATGGAAAGTCATGCAGACAGTGTAATGAAGAGCTAAGAGAAACCGTAGAGAACGAGGGCCAGAGGAAGACAGCATAAGGAAATAGAGGAAAACAAATATAGAGGAAGCGAGAGAATTGGAGGAAGTGAGAGTAGGTGGTGGGAATGAGAAGATGGTTGGTAGGGGGTGGTGATGGCATGAAGGGAGAGATGGAGGATCAAAGCACGACCTATTCTCGCCCTTCGGACTTCAGTCCCGCAGGGCTTACCCGTAGGCGTTGTGGAAGGATCGAGTGTTCTGTTCTAGGTTCAGCTATTTGTGAGAAAAAAGCAATACTGCTCTCCCAAGGAATGCTTTTTTTTCAGGCGAAGGTTTTTGTCCTCGACTTGTCCCAGAATGACTCCTCTCCGCCATTCCCCGTCATTGGGTACAATGCATTGTTCTGTCCTACACGTATTGGAAAATAAACAACACTGCTGATTAGATTTGGTGCTTTCGTGACTGCAGGAATAAATCTTTGTTTTTTTCGGTAAAGTCACGTAATTTTATTTTTTCTTATTTCTACGTGACTTTACCGAAAAAAAAAACAAAGATTAACACTGCTGATGTCCTTTTGAGATAACACAACAACACGGAGCCATGTAGACCGACCAGCCTTTGTTGTCCTTCCCTGCTCCTACGTACGGTGCGAAAGACGTTCAACATGCATACACACAGAGAGACCCACAGACACCCAGACCCATAGACACCCACAGATTAGCGCGGTTGGCTACGTATGGTGCGAAAGACGTTCAACATACATACACACAGAGACCCACAGACACCCAGACCCATAGACACCCACAGATTAGCGCGGTTGGCTACGTACAGTGCGAAAGACGTTCAACGTACATACACACACAGAGACCCACAGACACCCAGACCCATAGACACCCACAGATTAGCGCGGTTGGCTACGTACGGTGCGAAAGACGTTCAACATACATACACACAGAAACCCACAGACACCCAGACCCATAGACACCCACAGATTAGCGCGGTTGGCTACGTACGGTGCGAAAGACGTTCAACGTACATACACACACAGAGACCCACAGACACCCAGACCCATAGACACCCATAGATTAGCGCGGTTGGCTACGTACGGTGCGAAAGACGTTCAACGTACACACATATACACAACTCTGGAGTCGGCTAACACTTCCAGCAATGGCCCGCTCCTTACCTCCAGATTCCCACTGGTTGTGCAGTTACTCTCTTCCCCTCCGTCTGCTTTCATATGTCTCTCTCGTTTCCCTCTTTGGGCCCTTGATCCCTCCGTCTGTCTCTCTTGTGTTGCTTGCTCGTTGTCTGTCTGAATTGTGTCTCTGCCCGGAGGCAGTGACACAATCAAGTGTGACGAGCGTGCGGTCTGTGCTTGTACACCAACGCGAGCAGTCTGCCGTAAGCTTGTCATCAGGGTCTACACGAACACCATGAAATACACTTCCCATACTGCACATTGTTTTGGTGTTTTTTTTTTACTCCAGGCCACGTTTTCCACCATGGAAGCTATTTTATAAAGAAACTGGACTGCTTCTGTTAATCGACAAATTGACTCTTCTTAGCTTTGCTTGCAGCCCACGGGCCCCTGTCAGCTGTTGCCAGTTCTGCATCTCAGTGCTGTTGTTTTTGCCAGCGTGTTGAACTTCTTTTGCACGGTACGTAGCCAAACGTGCAAATTGGACGTGCGGGGGAAGGACAACAAATTAAACACAAAAAGCGGTTCTAAACAAGTGAGTTTTCAATCTAGATGATTTAAAATTGCTTAACTCCGATGGCTTGCTAATATCGGAAGGAAGGGCATGCCAGACGGCCGCAGAAGCGCAATGCAGTGGCCGTCTTTGTTTGATGGTTAGCCAAAAGCCGCTGCTGCTGCTGCGAGCAGGACCGGGGTTTGCGTGACGATGGTTTATGCAGTGTGCGTCAGGGATGCACGCCTATGCTTGCGGACACACTGTCTTGCACTGACAATAAAGAACTCAACACATTCGTCAATAGCACTGCCTTAGAATGAAAAAAAACATATAGAGTAGGTGTCGTTTCTGGAAATGACCCTCCTTCATAAAAAAACATGAAGAGGCATTGCGTGCAAGTCCCCTATTATAGAGTGTTTTAAATATATTTGTGCTTGTTCACCACTACCAACGAAGCATCGTCACCAAATAATTAGTTATTGTTCCACCGATTTCCGTGATATTTCCCAGAATGGACTTTTACTGGAGTCTCCTTGCGAAGCCAACACGCATGTTTGGCTTAGCTAGTGATACACGTGTCTATGTTGAACTTCTTTCGCACTGTACGTAGCCAAACGTGCCAATCGGAGGTGCGGGGGAAGGACAACAAACTAAACACAACAAGCACAAGCCGCACATGCACGTAATGTGTGAAGCGCACGTGTCGTGCGTGTGCTCAGACACAATCTGAACCACAAGCACAGAGGGTAAAAGATCCTCCCGTTTGAGACCTTGTAGACCGTCAGACAGACATCTCCGTGAGCAAGTTCCCCCTATCCGAGTTGCACACTGCACACGGTGCGATGATGCGGCGTCGGCAACACAACACGCGCCCGTCTCTGGTTCAACCTGTGCTCGTGTTCGTGCACCCACACGCGTCCCGTCGCTCTGTCTGTCCGGCCAGCTGGCCCAACAACTGGGCTGGCCGAACAGCTGGTTTTGGTCGACCTTAGGGAAGGCCCGGGAAAAGTAACAAAAAAAAACCTTGTGCCACTGAGAATGTGTACGACGAGGAATCTAAACCGGCTAGCTTCGATTGTAGCGCAGTGCGAGTAACCGCTTTGCCGCCCGCCCGCACGAACTTGCGAACGTACGGACCGTGTGCGCACGCACGCACGCGGGCCTTCACGCATTCCACAGCTGTGAAATATAAACACACAATTGAATCCGCGGTTTGTCGTGCCGCTTTTCTCTTCTTTTTGCCCACGGCGGCCACACAGAAACACCTCCGCAGGCTTAGGCGGGGGTGGCGGTGACGCGCGGTTTGACAATGAAATAGCGAGCTGGGCCGGGCGTGGCCGGGCTCCGAACTAAAGATGGTTATTTTTTTTTACCTTAAATCTTCCACAATGCCCGGCTCAGCCTCTTGTCTAAACACGCTTGCGCACACACCTGCATGTTCCGCCATGGTCCCCGCGCGATACGATCTGTGGGGATGGCCCCAGCTGTTGGCGGAGTCAAAGTAGAGAGAGCGAGATGGAGGGGACCCCCTTTCATCCCTTTGCAATGTGTGGACCCCCACATCGAAAAGAGCATCACCCGGCCTGATGTCCCACGTTTTTCTTTCATTCAACACCCATTCACAGCGGATGATTATTTACATATGATGAAGTGCACATTGGCATCAAAACGGTGCGGGAAATATAATGAAAGGCTTAATGGTCAGTGAGGCTTTGATGGTAAAGTGAGGCACTGTGAAATGTTAGGGTTGGGGGGGGGGTTAGACTGGTAGAGCGGTTAGTGCACTGCACTGTGAACCCAGAGAGCTGAGTTTGATTCCCGGCCACGGCTAGCTAGCATCAGTGGCGGGTCACGTTGGAATTGGTTCTGGACACCTGTATTCACAAAGCCTGGTGAAGTATGGTCAAACAACCCCCACGACCGACACCATCTTGAGAAGACTTTCATCCAGCAGTGGATTGACAAACGTCCGTAAGTATTTGATACACAGTATAAATTGCCGTCAGAGGGCATGACCGCCAAATTGGAAGGTCGCGAGTTCAACTCCTGGTGGATTCGTCAGCTCCATGTTAGCGTCTGGAGCCCATAAATGAGAAGCGCTTTGTGCGAATTCAGTAATTGGTTATCCGTACTATGAATGGATTGGGTCCTGCCATAGAAACGTAGAATTTCCACCACTGGCTCGGGAATGTCAATGCAGTTGAATACCCGCCCCCCAAACCTCAACATTTAGAACAAAAAGACGCTCTGTCCGTCTTTTCACTTGGCTCTATTTTTTGTATTGCCTGCCGGGGATTTGAGCTCAAATGTCAAGCTGCCTGCCGTGTCCGATCGCAGGTGGTGTTCGTCCTGACGGGCGACTGCGGAGACCGTAGCCACATCGGCTACAAGGCCTACGAGGAGATCGCCTCCACCAGCTCGGGCCAGGTCTTCCACCTCGACAAGAAGCAAGTGAACGAGGTGAGGTAGCCCCCTGGCGCCAGGTCGGCACACAGGTGCAGCAGCAGCCCCACCCCCCAACCACCCTCCCATCGCCGCACACTTGTGGGTAGCTGAGTTGGGGTGAGGCGTATGGTGTGACCAAATCGCCCAGTATGCGCCCAAGCTCATTGGATCTCAGATCTCAATGGATCTCATTGGGTCCAATCAGATCTCATTGGATCTCATTAGATCTCATTGGATCTCATCACATCTCATCGTATCTCATCGAGTCTCATCGGATCTCAGAAGCTGAGCCAGAGTTGGGGCCTGACAGCGCTTGGATGTGTGACCACCATGAGTCAAACCGGCGTTAAGTTGTGTGCTGCAGAGGGTTGTGCGGCAAAACATTATTATTGTGTTGTTCTATGTTCCTAAGTCTGTGTTCCTCGCATTCGCCAGGCCACACTCATCAGCGTGGTGAAGTATGGTAAATCAATACACATTTACAGGACTGGTGTGGGTGACCAACGCAGCCTCGGTGCCTTTTACTTAACCAAGAAGGCCTCTGTGAATGTCAAGACCTCTTTTAAGTATGACCCTGTGTTTTACATGCGGGAGGAAATGGGAGTGCCCGGAGAAAACCCACATATATCCGAAAGGTGACACTCAAAACTCTTTACAGATGTATTTAAGAATCCATATTATTGACATTCGCTGGCTGCTGATTGGCCACGATGGTTTCTGCAGAATGAGCCTCCTCCTCATTCCACAATCATCAATCGGGCCCAAAACCACAATTATACATACAGTGTAAGCATAAACACTCTTTCTACGTGAATACAGCCTCATGACTGTGATTATATTTACAGTTGGTTACGATTGTAATCAAAGTGACTTGTTACAGATAAAACATTTTTACCACAATCATGAGGAATTGCCTGGTAACAAGAGAAATGTATATAGCAGGATCATCTTTCTGCCAATTGCCAACTGGCACATTAACGTGTTTAATATTGGCGATGTGTTGCTGAACATCTCATTGACATGTTCAGCACTGTATTCGGTTGATGGTGGTACAGTGGGTAGAGCACCTGTCTCATTGTCACCGGTGCCATGGTGATGAGATGTTAACTACCTCGCCTGGTATACAGGAGGTCGTGGGTTCTATCCTGACCCTGACGCCTGTATATTTGGAGTTTACATGTTCTCCCTGTGAATTTTCTCCGGATCCTCCAGCTTTTCTTCTCCACATTTAGAGACATGCCTTCAGAATATTTTGCTGCTATAAATTTCCACGTGATCAACCACACCGTTGAGCTTTCATATGTGGCCAGGTCGCTTCTGAAAAAGAGCTATATAGCTCAATGGGCCTTACCTGGTAAAATAAAAATGGTTTAGTTTATAGTTTGTGAGTTAAAACCTCAACCAGACCTCATCCAAATCCCATTATCCTTCTGTAACCGATAATAATACGAGCCCTCTCTGACCAGTAATATAAACCCACTGTGGCCATCCTATGGAGAGACTGGCTCCCACCATGGGAAGTTTGAATTTTCATCACGAAGCTCAAAGCAGCCAACGGAGATCACCCGTTGCCCATTGATCGTTTGAACGTGGAAACAGTTAAATTGTGTTTTTTTTCGTTGACAGAGAGCCAGGTGTGGCCAAATCAAGTCGAGCATAAAGCCACTCAAGGACGATTTGTTTCCTTGAGCTCATTCACTGCTTGAGTGAGATGTTTAAAACCCGATAATCACAGGATCTCTTTTATGCCCCTGATTGGTCTATTGGTGACCTGAGGCTTGAACCCGGGGCTCCTGGCGGTGCTTGCCTGAGTGCCCTTGCGGAGGCGCGATTACCTCCGAGCCACCTGGCCACCTTGGAGAACAAAAAGCCACTGTCAAAGAATTGACATGCACATTTGAAAAGAGTGGCGAGCAATCTTTGTTTGCGTGAGACTGGCACTGCACACCTTCACGCAGCAGGGTTGGGTTCACAGTAATCCTTTGTAGCATAGGTTTCAAATGACTGCTTACAAAAAAGACACTTTTTTATGATTACCCAATGATTGGCATGTGTAATTTATTGTGCAGCTGGTGACTGGGACAATAATAATAGCAAGTAAAGTGCGGATGGTCACGGAAGCTTGGGATGGTGGTTATCTCTGTTGGCAGCCCTGAATGACCGGTGGAAATTCCACATTCCTATGGGATGAGAGCCGTTCTCTCCATCGGGACAATGGGACAGCCACCATAATTTGTTCTGTTACAGTGGGTTTTTGTCATCTTTTACGGATTTGAATTGACGAACGACCACTGTGGACTTCCCACAATGCACTGCAAGAGGATCGTGAATTCGGGGATGTTTGGCCGAATCCTCATTGGAGTCGTTAATCTGTGCCAATTTTTGAGCAACTCAGGATCTGTAAAATGCGCTTTCCTGTTGTATTCTAGCAGAAGACCTACTCGGTATCTGTGTTTTCATTGCTGCAGGATGAATGTTTTGCTTTATCAACGAAGACGTTATTAGCAATAGGGGGAGCTGCCACAGTGATGTAATGGTCACCACTCTGGACTCCTCAGGTCACCGGTTCGATTACATCTCCGGGCAAAGCAGTTGAGAAAATGGTGCAGATTTATTAACCCCCCCTGCCCCCACCATTTTTATACCCATCATTATATACCGGGTACTCCACGGTTAGTTGACCGGCAGGTCGCGTATGGTGGGTAAAGTGTGGGTACTCTAACCTCTTTCTGCCTCCAGTGAGCTCCCTCTCGTGGAGGCCGTTCATGCTAGGGGTGGTGTGAGCAGGCAAGTGCAGGGCTGCCCCTTTAACTTCACCTCCAACGCTGCCCCCATTGTGCTGCATGGCAGGCGTGAGTAGCAAGGATCTACTCCAACCTTCCCAGTAATTCCGCGGCGGCACGTGGTAGTGCCATACTTTGGAGGCAAGCAGAAACATCGTGGCTTTGTGGACGTAAACGCCAAGGGAAGGATGCATGGAGGGGAGGGGGGGCTGGGAAGAATTGGGGAGTTTCTCTCCTGCTTCCATGCCCCCGGACCTCCTGCCTAGACTGTGGCTGGCTAAGCCATCACTTATCCAGGGGAACTCATGACCTCAGAGTTTCCGCACAGGCTAATAGCGCCAGCGATGATCTTTCACCTTCGACCCTCGCTCACTTCCAAGCCATTCCAATCTTCTCTGGAAAAAAACAAATATGATACAGCACCAAGCGGTGCCCGTGATATAATGGTTTTCTCACGGGGAAAGGCGTCAGCTTCCGTTGATGGCAATCACCGGAGGTTCTGTCTCAGATCGCGGTATTTACATAACTTGTACTCTGCTCTCCATGTATAATTGTTTCGAGTGCACATGATGAAATGCAGTACAGTACGACCGTTCTCGGGCCGCCGTGTAATTGCCACGTGAAACTATCGGACCCTGAGGATGCCGACTGTGGCTTAACCCTAATTAAAACGAGGCCAAATGATTACAGCTTCAGGATGTTAAACGATAGCACACTTGAACGGCCCGATTGTGTTTATAAATCTGTCCGTCTATCTATCGAGCTGTCGGTCTACTCGAACTGCTTACGCAGAGCCCGCAGTAATTACCGAATGACCGAGGAATTTGTTAGAATCCCAGACGTTACAACTGGCCCTGTTTGTTTTTCCCAATAACTTGAGCTGCCCCATCCGTACGCGCGTGTACACCTATGAGCTGAACGTACGTCAGAGTCAAAAGGTCCAGGTGATCCCTTGCTCGAACTCGCGTTGCGGGTGGTGCTCATCTCTGTTGGCAACCCACGTGCAGTGATGTAAGTTCATAATTCTCTATGGCAGGTTGCAGTCAATTCATGTACGGTAGCACAACCACGGTAACATCGCTACTAAGTGGCACGTACCCACTCGAGAACGGCACTTCGTTATGGGAGTTGAGTGCAGTGCCGCAAGCACCGTCCGGCTGGAACATGATATCATAATACTAAAAACTCAGCACGTCCGTCAATAACACTATGGCCTTAAAAATACAAACGTTTATAATAGGCGACGATTCTGGCCACGACCCTTCTTCATGGCACATACATGGTCTTAGTTAATTGTGCTTGTGTACCCGAATACCAAACACCGTCAGCTGCCCTGTACCATTAAGTGCTGGTGACATCACCCCAGGGTAAAGGCACATGGGGAGTGAGTGTAGAGGCTGGAGTAAGGAAGAATCTTGAAGGATGTATGGAGAAGGCCTTGTGTACATGTACTCATGATGGTGCTGGCCACCCACCCCCTCATGTGCCGTGCCGTGCCGGCCTTCATAGGTGCTGCTTGTTAACAGCACTTGCCCCAAAAGTCTGTTAATCCTATACGGGGTATCTTTATCTTGCAAGTGTTAAATTAAACTATGGAGTAGAGGAAGGATGTGATTGGTTGATAAATTACTTGATCCGCTACCATTTTAAACATAGATATTTAATGTCCATTCATATATGTGTGATATCGCTATAATCTCAATGTGTAATAGCGGTTTATCAGGATAATGGGGTCAAAAAGCCACCATTTACCTTTTTAATGCAGGAATTAGTTTGAATTCCTCATTCACCCAGCAACAGGCTGAATGCAATTAGTTGCAAAGTGCTTTTAGGAGGGCATCAAAGACCCCTTTAATTAATGGCAAATAGCCACCCCACCTAGGCCGCCATCCGTCAATGCCAGTTGGGCACTTTAATGACATTGGACCCCCACCGGTGAAAGAAGGTAACAATTTTTCATTACGACTTCACTTTGGAATTTCACCCGAGTACTTTTTTTTATTTGTTTGTAGGTGAGGGGAAAAAGCAGCAGGCAAATCAGGAGGTGTCCAGGTAACTGGGTGGGCTAATACAATCGGACAGCGCTAAGCTGGCACAGCCAATATCCTGCCTTCAAATTTTGCAATAACCCATTCTTCTCCTAAAATTAAAACATGTGTTTTTCTTATTTTACCAGGTAAGGCCCACTGAGCTATGTAGCTTTGTTTCAGAAGCAACCTGGGCCACCACAAA